ATTATAAATATTATAAGTGATTATTTAAATGTAAACACATTTAGGCATTGATTACTTAAATTGTTATGAATTTGTCATTGCTTTGCTGATTAAACTGAACAAAGTGGCTTCATATATGCAATCTATTTGCAAAGTTATATGGTAATTTTTATAAATATTTAAGTATTCATAAAAAATTGATATATGTTCTAAAGTTCTGCAGAATTTCACTCTGCAGTCATGTTGTTTAGTGATAATGCAAACAGATGCTTATGATTTTTAAAGCATCAGATTTCATGTTAGAAGCTGGAACTGGCAAAATGCTTTCCCCAAAGAAATCTTATTTGTGATGATAAGCTTGCATTTTACCTAATGAGAACATAATGTTCCAATTTCCTATAAAGTATTACTTTGCCACCAAATTTTGTCCTAACAAAAAATATTTATTGGTGTGCATTATTGCAATTCTGCCTTGAATATATAATAGAACAGTTGCACAGTAGAAAGAAGTAATACACAAAAGCTAATCACAGTAACTTGTTGCAAATGAATGTCTGGCTTACCAATTTTTCTAGATAAGCAAGAAATAACCCTAGATGGAAACTTATATCTATCTATTGAGAAAGTTTACATTATTCTTTTGGGAGTTGTAATGTCTTTAATTGTAAACCTCAATTATCATTATTCTGTATTTCAAGATAAACACCAGTGCAAGACACTGGCTGGGAGTTGTATCATTTTTGGAACATACTCAAGGAATTGCTTTTCTTCTTATAAATACATGATAAGACTTCTTATTGTCTTTTTCTCTTAAAATCAGGGAGCGGAAGAAATTTGCTGAAACGGAATCAGAATGAAACAGACTATATTTTAAAATAGTAAGAGATGATTAATAAAGACTGTGTACCAATAGAAATTCCCTAGCTAAGAAACAGAACCCAATATAAGAAAAGTACTTTTAATTTTCATCCCACTAAATTAACAAAATCTTGCTGAAACTTAGAATCAGATTTAGTCTTTGCCTCCCTAATTTGGGTTATTTCCTTACAATTTAGCATGGATTCCAACTTTCCTACACTATTGCCATAGTATCTTGTTGCAGTAAACTTTACCTTGTCAAGCAACAGCCTACTTTTGCTAAGAATAAAATGAAATAAAACTTCTGTTCAGACTGAAGGGTTTTATTTCCGAGGGGTGTTAGAAGGAAACATATAGTAATGAAATCACCGACAGATAGAATTACTATCTCTTGACAAGTGAAAAGTATTGTCACTGCAGGTAGGAGGCTGCAGTTTGAATTTTACGTCCACCCCTTTCTAGCTGTGTGACCTTAGGCAAGTTATTTACCTTCTGTGTGCCTCAGTTTCCTTACCTGGAAAACAGAGATAATAATAGTGCCCACCTCAGAGGATCAGCCTGAGGATTAAAGCAAGTAAATTTATGCCCAGCAATCAGGGCAGGACCTGGCATATGGTGAGGACTATGTAAGTGCTTTCTGTTTTTATTTAGGTAATCAGGTTATCATTAAATAAGTTGGTTTTTCTCAATCTTAAGATTGTTAATGGTGCAGAGGGCAGAAGTCATTTACCAATCATCGATCCTGTTGTATCTAGTAATATTTCAGAATTTTCTCAGAAATACAAATCCTAAGGGAAAACAGGCAGAGTCTCTCTTCTCTCTGTTGATTTACAAGTAATGGTAATAACAGCTAATGTTGAATAGTGTTTACTATGTGCATATACTAGTCTAAGCACAATGTATATCATCTAATTTAGTTTATCATATCTCCTTGAGGTATATGCAATTATTATTTCCATCTTCAAGTAGAGGAAATGAAATCTAGAAGAAATGTAATGATTGGCTGGGCGTGGTGGCTCACACCTGTAATCCCAACACTTTGGGAGGCCAAGGCGGGCGGATAACCTGAGGTCGGGAGTTTGAGACCAGCATGACCAACATGGAGAAAGCTGTCTACTAAAAATACAAAATTAGTCGGGCATGGTGGCACATGCCTGTAGTCCCAGCTACTTGGGAGGCTGAAGCAGGAGTATCACTTGAACTGGGAGGCAGAGGTTGCAGTCAGCCAAGATCTTGTCATTGCACTCCAGCCTGGGTGACAAGAACGAAACTCTGTCTCAAAAAA